CTCTGCAAAAATTGGTCAAACGTGGGATTGAATTGGCCGCGGACGCCCGCGAGCGCTATCCTGATGCCCGCATCAATCTGCATTTGTCCTGGTTCGGAAATGAATTGGTAGGTGAGGAAGGGATTGCCCAAAATCCAAATTGGCCATACGACGGTCCCAACGGGCACTGGCCGACGCTTCAGGATGATTGCGAACGCCACTTGACTTGGTTTGTCAAGAAAGCCCAAGAGCTGGATTTCCCTGGTCAGCTGACTATGGCATTCATCCGATTTTTGACCAGTTTTTCGATGCGTTGGAACCCAAGTTCAAAGCCTTGACATGCAGCCCTCTCGGGCTTGCCAACCCCAATTTTCCATGGTTGCGTGCAAAGGGGTACGCCGATGCAATGGAATTCAGAGACCAATGGCATTTCGCCAACTCTGAAGAAAATCGCACACGGCTCTCTGCGTACTGGACGGCAACTTTGTTTGCCATTGACTGTGGGTGGCGGGTTGGCCGAATAGGGCTTGAGCTTGCACAATGTGGCCAGGAAACATGGGATGACTTGCGAAGGAACATGAGCGCCGTCCTCGACGAGCTGCCAAGATCTTATCAGGAGACGGTTGCAAGCATCACCAAGTTGATTTTTGGCGAGTCCCGAAGACACATTACCCCAACAGGCAGGTCGTTCACCAAAGAAGACGTTGAAGCTCAACAGCCTGACACAGAGGATTACATCGATGTCAAAACGATGGCTCCTGGCACCTTTGCCGAGCCTCCCAGGGACGACCCTCCAAAACCGGCCGCCGGCGACGGCGAGCCCGCCACATCCAGCAGAGCATCGATCATGGTCCAAACAGCCGAGGTCTTGTTGAAGTCACGACCAAAAGCAGTGCCTGCCCCTGCAGCCGCAGCCGCGCCTGCAGACGACACAGGAGCCACTTCCAGCCAGTACCGGCCGCAGGCAACTGCGCGCTTGGAGGAACATGCATCCGGTTACGTGAAAGCATATTGGATGGAGGAGCATTTGCCCGAATACCAATATACAATGGTAACCAATGCAGACGGGGACGATGTACCCGGTATCCTTTTTGACGGTACGGCTTATGAATTGGAACTGCTATCGGCATCCGACGTGGAAACCATCGCCAGCCAGACTCGTGTCGACAAGAAGTTTTCTGATTTCGCAACCCGTGTCAATAAAGTTTGCAGGGGGCATGGATCCTGCGCCAAGGTACCAATGGACAAGGACCTTTGGATTGACTTGGAGGATTTTGCCAAAGCCTTCCGCAAGGAAGTGCCCCCAGACGTTTTCATCACCGTCTCAAACCTTTTTGGCACCGCAATGAAAATCGACAAGCATGGCAAGAGTAGGTTCCAATTCTTGTGTGCAAAGATTTCTCATTTTCCTGTCGACAATGGCTTAGGCATGGCATATTATCCCGTGAAAATTCGTGCAATCCAGGGTCATTCCCAAGCTGCCCTGAAGACCGCCGGGGGTCTTTATGCCAATTCAACCCCCCGAGCGAAAAGCCGCCTTCACTGGCGTGTCCATTTGTGCCATGACTGAGGTCCCTGATGTTGCATTCCATCGCACGATGAGAAGCAGCTGGAAGAGCATCGCACAGAACGGCCTGATCCCAGGCGGCGGTGACTCAGTCAACAGCGGCCGTGCCCATTCCTACATGTCGGAGCACCGCATAGGCACAGATGGGTATAGATCCGGACTAAGAGCAAAATGTCCAGTTGAAGTCAAAATTGCAATGCGGCAAGCAGTTGAAGCCGGTGTCATCTTTAGTCGCACAGAAATGGATGGTATTTTGTGTTCAGAACGCATTCCACCCCAATTTCTGGTCAGCATCTCAGAGGATGGAAAGGTGCTTTGGTCCCGCGCCGAGAGCAATCTCGAGCCCAGCACTTGGACAAGCGCGGAAGCAACCTCATCACCGACATCCAAGAAAGTCCAACTGACTGCTCGCGACGATGCCAATGACGACCCAATGGATGACACCAGCACGGGGCGACCCGATGCCAGATCCGCAAATGATGATGATGCCACCAATGACCCAATGCAAGTTGACCAGCCACCCGCAAAGGTGCGCCGTGTTTACGTTGCACCAAAGTACTGCGAACCTTTCACCGGCACTTGCCCCCTGTGTCAGGTCGAGTACGTCAGTGGTCAAGTGGCATGCACCACACGTGGATTTGAGCCACTTCCAGTGGACGAAAGTGGCGAAACAAAAGGGTCTGACCAACCCAACAGGCGTACACGGATCCTGGAGAAGCGCATGCAAAAGCTTGCAGGGTTTGGGATGTACGGACAGGTGAACAGCACCCTGTTGGCGACATTGACCAACGAACAAGCTGACCAGTTGCGGCGAGAAATGGGCTCAAGGGGAATTACATCCATTGAATCAGCAGTCATCAAAGACTGCCGCGACCGTTACAAGCGAGCAAAGGCACTTGGCTATGAGGACGTGGAAGACCGCTATGCAAGTGACGTTACGTTTTGTGACCGCGTTCATGGTGAGGGCAGGGGCTTAAGTGAATGTATTTTCGACGATATGTTTGCGTATGCCAATCTCCCAGATGCGCCCCGCACCAGAGCCCAGATCTCGGCTGGCGTCGCCGCCAATGCCCAACATGAAAATTGCTTGTCAAAGTTGATTTTTATGTCCCCCAACCTCGAGGTGTGGAAGGATTCCCCATTGAATTTCGCAAGACATGGAAGAAGACTTGGGGTTTCATGTTCGGTCGCCACATTTTTACAGAAGATGAATATGTCAGCTACATCGGCCGTCGTGGCGCATTTCGTGGCCTGCTGACCTGGAAGGGCACCGTCCAAGTTCCTGTCAATGGCACTCTTGAATTCCTCGAAAAGCTGTATGAGGAAAACCTCCCATTGGTTCGGGGCAACCTTGAACGCAAGGAGAAACAGAGCGCCGCTGCAAAGGCTGGAGGTCCTGGGGGTCAAAAGGCCGACCCCACGGTCGCGCCCACTGCCGAGCGAAAACGCAAAGCTGAAGCCGACACATCTGCCACTGGACATGATGACACAGCCGCCGCAAGCTCCGCTCACGCGGACGCCTCACACGTAGATGCCTCATTTGGTCCCGCATCAACACCATTCCTTGCACCAGAGCCACCAACACCCAAAGGAGGAGCAAGACCATTCTTGGAGCCTGAGACACCGCCCACTGCAAAAGCAGCAAGCACCGTCACATCAAAGGCTGCAAGCTCCGGTCGCCCGGATGCCTCCTGGAGTTGGAATCGTGATCACTATGGTGCACGCCGTGAATGGAGTTTCTGGCGTGGGGCTTGGGATTACCGTGATGAGGCCGGCGGCCGTTGGATCTATTGGAACCGCAGGTAGACGATGATTTTCTTTTGTAGCATAGCGCAAGATGCGGCATGGTAATGTGCCTTCCTTGCAACGCTGCGCTGGGTTTTACGGGCTTGAGCTTTTTAGAGGGACCTTTGAAAGACTGCATAAAAACTTTCAAAAACCACTAAAGAGATTTGGCTACCCGCGAGGGTATGCTCTTCTGGGTTATTCGTTCTCCGCAGTCGTCCCTGCTCGCCCGAGGGGGGTGTAAAAACTCCTGCAGTAAAACCATGTATTGTATATATCATCGTACTACTCTGTAGCGTTGGTTCAAAAGTGCTAGCAGCTTAACGGTTTGCGCCCCTTATAGTAATTGTACTATATTGTTGGCTGACCTGATAAAATACAGAGTCAAAAAAATGAGAGTTTTCCGGGAAGAAAGCAACTTTACTGAGGGGTTTGATTTGGGGTCTGATGATTTGGTGATTCTCAAGGTGTTTTGCACCTGTCTCCATCATTGTGGCGCTGGTTGTTGCTGCGCAGCTTATTCTGTGCCAGCGTTTGCGCAGGGCTTAGTCAACTTGTCGCTGGTTTACAGCTGGGATTTGTGGTCTTTGATGTCTTGGAGAAGCACCAGATCCTGCTTTCCTTTTGAAGACCCTTCACAGCTTGGCAACACAAAACTGAGGTTCTACATTATGCTTCGATGTGGTGTTCTGGTTGACTTCAAGAATCTTTCTCCATTCAAGGACCCAGAAGCACATAGCTACAAATATGCTACAAATATGCTACAAATATGCAACATGGTCTTTCCCCCTAGGTGATAGGGATGTATAGGGATCCGTTTTCGGACACCGTCCTTATTTGTCGTTTGGTGTCACAAAAGGCTTGCCATGACCCCATGACCCCATGGCTTGGAGGATCCTCTCTTTTGGTGGGTGCTTTTGAATGGAGTGATGTCCTCAGTGCGATGGACCTTGGTAGATCATGGTAGATCTCAGACAATGCCATACAATGCCTATGATATTAGCACGATTATGCACATTGCAGTACCATGTGCCATGTGCATTCATTTGATTTCATGGATGATCATGGGTTGATATGTGTTATTATGTGTTCTATGTATTTGAAGGTGATGAGTGCCAACAGAATTAGTTTTCGCTGACCGAAGAAACAACAGAGAAACAACGCTCGAACAACATAATATATACGGTAACAACATTTAAATATGTGGAGGGCGGGCCAGACCGCGAGGCCCAGGAGGTAGTATAAAATACCAGTCCGTATATTTAAATGTAATTACCGTATGTTTAAATGAATTGGATTCCGTATGTTTAATGGCCGGGCGGGCCAAGGAAAACCTTCCCGGAGGTAGTCTAAAATACCTGTTCGTATGTATCAAAATCCGTTTATTTAAATGTAGTTGCCGTATATATATATATATGATTATATATATATAGATAATCATAAACAAACCAGATGCAGTCAGCTGCCGTGGCATTCGCCGAGAGTCCTTTGCAACACCGAGCCAGGAGCGGAGGTAACCCTCATGTTCAACATCGTTTAACTAGTTTGGTCATTTTGTAGTCTCAACTATTGACATGCCTGGAAATTCAATTTGAGTGGAGGTTGTGAAGCACAAAAAGTCCTGCTGGTGTGCTCCAAAGCCTCGTGTGCACGAATTCAGGTTTGCGCCATGTCACACTTTGTATTCCATATGCTGGTGGTTCAGCAGATGCACATCGGGAAAGACAATTTGCAAAAGGTCATAGTGGCTTGTCGGAAGACTGGTCCGTTCTGGCATCATGTCATGTCACACTCTGATTGATTGAAATCGGTGTTTGCCCCGCGAACACTCTTAAACTCCCTGGAAAACCCGGACCTTTCAAAAAGGGAATGTTATTGTTCGCCAAAGGATTCTCTGAAGCAAGCAGCTTGGCTGAACTAGGTGATTTGAGTGTTTTAACAGAAACATATTGGTTCGAAGCATCAGCATGAAAACATCGACACTGTCTGAATTTGACCAAATTTGACCAAGAAGGGATAGAACTACCGAATCGGCCAAGGATTCGTTCTTTTTCGGTTTGCCATCTATTGTCTATGTGCTCTTCCTATACTTGTCATACGATGTCGAATGGTTGCTGCTTCCGTTGAGCAAATTCTGGGAATCAGATCCAGAATGGGCTCAGAAGACATCCTTCGAAATGGTTCCTCAGCTGCGTTCTCGAAAGGCTAAGAAGATTGTGCAGCATTGCACAGAATTGACCGTGAGAAGCAGCGTGTTTCCAGTATGCCCTCAGTATGCCCCAATTCTGTTTCGTTTCCAGTAGCCATTCTGAGATTCCTGAGATCTCCTGAGGCCTTTGTGACTGAAAGAGCTGCTTGCAAGACTGTGCTGCAGGATGCAACATGCATTCAGGAGACATATAGACAGAGACAAGCAGCAAGGCTCTATCTGACTCTATACTTGACGATGAACTTGCAGGATGTGGCTGATGCTATTGCGCTGCAGTCACTAGACCGTGGCTTGGATGAATAAACATGAATAAACTACAAGCTGCAAGGAGAGAAACGCATTTTCCCGGTGCAGGTTGGGATGCTTGTGCTTGGACTTGTGCTTGGACTAGCATTTCACAATATTTCACATCATGTCACTACAGATGGCTCTGTGGCTCTCTGTGTTCCCTTCTCTTTGCACGCGGTTTCTGCGGACATCTTGGGGCATGACTTGTGCTTCGAACTTGCTGCCGACAGGATGCGTCTCCAACCCCTCAATCAACATTCTGATTATCATTCAACCTTTTCATTTGCAGGGCTGCTGTGTGACCGGTGGCATGTTTGAAAAATGTGTCTGGCAGAAACATTTTTTTTGATCTGCGACATGATTGCAGAGGTGGTGTGGAATTGCAGAGAGCTGATAGCCTGACAACTAACAACGCTGCACGCGCCTTGATGCAACGTTGTCACCTGGGAGTATGCAAGAAGGCTATTGATGGATGTTGCACATTTATACTGTGCCAAACTGCAGGGAGAACAGTCGGTGCTTACTGTATGGTTGGTTTGCAGGATGTGCAGCGAAGGAACAACTCAGAATTTGATCATTCTACAGAGGATCTAGGTATAGACCTGAAACCCAGGTCCCTAATTTCAGTATAATGGCCCTGACGTCCTACCATTGGTGATCAACAAACTGTGATCTAAGGTCCGACTCGTAATGCATTTGCAGCTTGGCAAATTCCTGCACTTGGGGATTTCATTGGATTTCCAACTAGATCCACCTTCCGTCCGGTCGCAGTTTTGAAACTTTAGAAGAATTGGTTTGCGTGTCCAAATTGATTCAAATGGCTTTCTTACTCTTGCCTCGTGCTATGAATTTGTCAGGTGCCGGAGGCTAGACAGCAAAAAGCGAAACAAGCTCACATAAGTCGGCGACAAGTTGTGTCTGTGCCGGCACAAACACCAAGGACAAGATTCCAGTTTGCAATTCGGTGGTTTGGAACGACTGAAATGACGTGTTTGACCCACTGTTTTGAAAACAACGCCAGACCAGCCTTAACAGCGGATGGGATTTTGAGCCAATATTTCAATATTTCATTCTGGATTTCATAACACTGCGTCCCTGAGTTGTGTCCTTTAGCCGCTTTAGCCCAGCTCTTTTTGCCCAGCTGTTAGAGCTTTGGAGCAAATCCAAGACTTCGATATTGCACAAATTTGCACCCCAATTTCTGTGGTCTCATTGTTGATGCCTTGGTGATGACCTTTGGCATCCTTTGGCGACATGATGGTGACATGCAGGAATTATTTTGTTGAACGTGCTTGGATTTCTCGTCTCCTCAGCGACTCTCAATTGGTGGCACAGGATCGGCGGCTTGGCTCAGACAGCCTCAGCGTGGCAAGACTTGACGAATTTTTTCAAGAAGCAGTTCTTACTCTTCTGAAACGAAGTAAGAATGAGAACAAAATGGAGCCGGACTATGCCGGACTTAGGAAGTGCCGCACTTTCTATTTTGCTTGGGTGATATGGATGTGCTTGACATCCTTCATGTGTTTGGCTGCTGCAACTTGGCGCATAGATATTGATGATGTTGTGACCCAGTGAACTCAGTGGCCTGGTGGGACAAAGCTTGAGGTGGCAGCGGTAATCCTTCAACTGAAAAATGATATCGAAGACATCATTGCTGGTCATGGCATCTTGGCATATGTTTCATGGATGTTTGCAAGGAGAAACCATGAGAAACTGTGACTGTATTGAAGGCTATTGGCTACTGGACTCATTTGACGCGTTTTGATATTCAGGGTGCTTCAAGAATTGCTTGTGTGTTTCCACTTCCACAATCTTTCACAATCAACAATTGTTTCAGACCTGTGCAAGGAGAAGAATATATTTGCGTTGCCATCGTTGGGACAAATGCTTCTAGCTCAGATATGCTCAGATTGCCATCGTTGTGCCATGCAGTTTCCAGTTGGAGAAGCCAAAAACCCTAAGGGAACGTATCATCCAGCATCATCCAGCATCCAGCAGCCAGGTCCTTGCCATGATTGTTGTGGCCTGCTACTATGTGGGTGACCTGGTCTTTCCATGAATGCGGCAGTGCGGATGATGGGGGGCATCCCAAATTGTATCTTTTTGATGCCCCCCACACACACTGCACAGAAAGAATTTGGGATTTTGTAGGTTGCAGGATGGTTCACCATGGATTGAGATAGAAATCTGTCTCAAACATCACAAGAAATTGGGCAGTGTGAAATGCCTGATCTTTTGTACTTCGAACAGTCTCCCACTTTTTGGCCAGGGTACGAAAATCGCGATGCCCCTGTACACTAAATTGATCTAATTTGTGGCCTACAAGCCTGAGAATGCAGAGCACTTGTGGTTGCAAACATAGCTTCCACATCACCTCAGCAAGTGTGGTGTCAAAGAGAGCATCCAAAAAGCGTCACACGGGGACCCTGGACAGCATTCACTCATGAGTCATCATTTATGATTTATCTGGTTGGTGGTTTGGAACATTTTTATTCCATATACTAGTATTGGGATGTATTGGGAATAATAATCCCACTAATGTTTTTCAGAGGGGTTGAAACCACCAACCACTTTATGATTTGAGTTGTTTTGAGAAATAAAGAATAAACTGACTGAACCGTTGCAGCGCAAAAACTATCGTTTTTCCATGTTTTTCCACTTCTGACACCTGTAAACATGCACGATCATCCTATTACCTTTTTGGCAGGGCCAAATGGTCGTTTTCAGAGGCGTCTTGACGGGACCACTGTTCAGCTGCTCTCCAGCTCTCACAGGCCTCGCTGCAATGCGCCCGTGTTGGTGCAGCTTCGCGATGCTTCGCGGATGTTTGGAGCAGTTGACATCAAAAGCGTGACTGGCTTGAACATGCTTGAACCATGTTGACTCCTTGAACGGCGATCAAGTTGCAACTAGAAATTTGCACGCCCATCATGAAGTTGAAGGTTTGAATAAACTTTCTTGAACAGAGCCTTTCTCAGGCCCAATAGATAGGAAGCGTCAAGAATCAAGACCGATGCCACTGTGCACTCAACTTTGTCATTCTTATTGTTGACTTGAATTCTATTGCATCTGCAATTTTGCAAGAGGGTAGTTAAATAACGTATTTAAAATTTAAAATAGTAATAAGTAATAATATCGGGATGAAAAATGAAACTGTGTTGCTCATGCACGGCAAACGCTGTATTGTTTTGTGCCTTCTGGAGCGACCGGTGAATGGGCATCAGCTGGGGCCTTATTCCAAGCTGAGCCGAGACAGCGACAGTTGCAAAGCTGTACAGCTCTCTTATACGTCTGGTTGCGTTCAGTGGTGCCTGCAGAGATTTCATTTCAATTCATTTCATATAGCTTGCACCGTTTCAAATGGTTCAATCTTTACCTCTTCTGCTGAATATCACAAGAAATCACAAGATCTTCGTCACAATGTTGAGTTGAGGAGCAGCAGCCAGTAGAACGTTAGTTACATTGGTTTTCATAGCAGGCTTGAAGTGATGGAATGACTAACACGGCGTCTGAATCAGCGATCGCGCGATTGCTGGATATTCCCACCTCCTGCAGCCATGGACACCGACTTTGCAGGGGAGTACCGGTCACTTGCGGACCCTGGACACCTAGCCGATGTGGAATCAGATCCAAAAAAGGTGGGGAGGGGGATGACTTCCCCTTGTAGGGCCGATCTTCATCTGTGACTGGACTGTTTCCACAGAGCACATTGTACAGTACTTGTACAAGACAAGCAATTGCAACCAAGAGGGACAACACACCTTCAGCTACTATTCAACCACTTTGAGTTGCTTAGTGCACGCGGTTATCGTGATACAGTGACACGAAAATGATCATGAACTGAAGCTACTTGCATTTCACTGGAGATGTTTGAAACTCGACATTCAGGCCGGAGAGGCGCAACGTTTCAAGAAGATACTGAAAGCCAATACCTCCACCTTCAAAGACAAGGCACGAAAATCGAGGAACATCGAGGAAATGTGCTCTATGACTTCGACCCAAAAATAGACGAAAGCGCTATCACGCTGGGGGGGTTGATCTTGTGGTTAAATTTTATGTTTATGATTTATAATAATATGAATATGTTTATAATATGTCGTTCAACTGTTGTTGCATGTTGTGGTGTTGAAGTAGTATTGAACCGTTAATGAGATGGCCATATCTTTGGATGCCCCTGGTGTTTGCCAACTGTAGCCAGGAAATTAATATCACTGTTGCCAGGATACATGTAGTGTTCCAACACAAAGTGCCTGTTTGTAAATATTCTTATGCTGTGTGACGCTTGTTAGCATTTTATAGCATTTTTGTACGTTAGAACAAACCAGTCGCATTGGCACGTCATGCTGGTTCAGGTGGAACGCGAAAAAATGAGTCGCGCTTTACGAGCGAAGAAGGACACTACTCAATTCGTAGAGACCTGATTCTTGAGTGAACTGAAGCAGCAGTCAAGCATTTTAATTTGATTTGTACCCCCAGGCATTCGAGAGCGCTTGATTTCTTATGATGTTGTGCCAGTTGCCACCTGCAGGAGCGTGAACAACTGCGGGCTTTGCGCGGTGGCAAGGGACACACCTTTCTGTTGCTTGGCATACCTCTTTGATTGGTCCGACTGACTGAACTCTTTAATTGTGATTTCCTTCTCTACTGATCGAGTGATGTTCCGAATGAAAGTAACATCAATTCGGTTCTTGTCTGATAGTCTGATAGTCTGATAGGGTCTGATAGAGCAAGAGCATTTGCCTTTGCTCATCGCCTGGACATGCCACTTAAACCTGGCCTTTTAATATCCGATTCTGCAAACAGAATTCATCAGAATTCTTTTTCCATCATGCCTGCCCGGGCAATGATTTCATATGTAATAAATACAGGTAGGTTAACCCCATGACTGCAACATTTGTCATATTCCAGCAGTTCAGTTGGAGATTGTTTTGGCTGAGATTTCATTTAAGGGAAATCAGCCTGGCAGGTACTCATTGACCAGTGCCCATTCACATCGTCTGGAAGCTGTGCGACTCCAAAGATTATTCAGACTACATTCTGAACATTTTGAATTTTGAATATTTTGAATTTGGAATTTCAAGCACCTTGATTCCTTTAGTTTCTGACCTGGTTTCACGCCAAGGGTCTTCCGAAACTTTATCGGCCTTTTCATCCTCACCAACGTAGTTTGTTTCATCATTGAGACTGACAAGTCCACCGAGCAGAGATACAGACCTTTCTTTGACAATCTTGAAGCAGTGTCCTCTTGTCTATTTCTGGTGGAGTATCTTATGCGGCTGCTGACAGTTCATGAAAACAAGCGCTACATGGAACTGTCTCGCTGTCAAGCACGCTGGAAGATGCTATGTTCTTTTCCATCCTTGATCGACCTGGTTTCTTTTCTGCCATGGTTTATAGAAAGATTGCTGCCGTACAAGCTGCCAAACCTCCAGTTTGTGCGAGTCATTCGCCTATTCCGCTTGTTCAAGTCCAACTCAGTGATGGGTTCTGTTGACGTCATTGCACGTGTCTTGTTCTTCAACAGAGAAATTCTGTGTGTTGCATTCATGATCGACCTGATCTTGATATTGCTCATGTCCACCGTCCTCTACTACATGGCGCCTCCACCAGACACCCCTGGACTTGAAGATGATTTTGAATCCATTCCTGCAACCATGTACTTGTCAGTGATGATGCTCACTGGACAAGGTCAACCTAATGGACAGTTGCCATGGTACACCAAAGTGATCGTGGTTGTCACCGCAGTACTGGCGACTGCGCAATTTGCCATTCCTGCCTCCATGTTGACTTGGGGCTTTGAGCAGGAAGCTGAGAGACGTCTACATAAGAATCATCAGGTGCAAATCAAACAGAAGGAGCGCATCTTGAAAGGGGACACGCAGTGGGATGTCGAGGACATCAGTAGTAGTTCCACAAGTGAAAGTGATGTGGGTCATGAATGGGCTGAGTACGAGGCAGTTGTTGTCGGCAGCGACAGTGATACTGAAGAAGATAACATCGAGTCCGCAGCCCATTTGACCTCCCTAACAGCTTCTGAAGCTGCACGGATTGCCAAAGTTTTCTCTATCTTGGATGCTGACGACAGTGGAATGCTTCAGACTAGTGAGATTTGCAGAATAGCATCCGGCCACTCAGCTCAGAGTGGGCAGATTGATTGTCAGAATTTGGTGGAAGTCCTTGATGATGACAATGATGGGAAGACAACATCTGAAGAGTTCTTGCAGTGGCTGACTGGAATCAAGGCCAAAAATGTGCACGTCTTTCACATGATTATGAAAGATTTGGAGAACCTGAAAATGACCAAAGGAGCTGAATCAACTTTGACCTCAGGGAACCTGATGAAATTCGCGCAGCGCTTCCAGGAATTGAATGATGAGGTCAGAAGGCTGAAAGATGAGCTCGCATCGAAAGAGGCAGAGATTTCCCTCCTGAAAAGAGATCGCCCAGCCGCATGAGCCGCATGAGCCGCATGAGCCGCATGAAACTTTTCATCGCCATCGTGCTCGCACGATCAATATCCGGCAATCTTAGGTAAACGCTTTGCATTGAAGGGAAAAGGTGCGCGATCGTGTTTGCACCAACTGTGTATCAGCAGAGCAATCAGTGTTTGATAAGTCTGCAGCAAGATGGGGCTAAGACGCCTGCTGTTGCCCAGGCGCGCGATTGGCTGAGAAGGTCATGAGATGTCATGAGGATGAATGAGCAATTTGAAAAGAGTGTTGCTATGACAGGGGATGTTGCTGAAAGCCAGTATTAGTGCAATGAATGAATATTGAATGTGATCCATGACGTGTTTAAAGTCGTCTTGGAAGGAACATTGCTTTTCTTTTGTGTTGCTCTCTGAGAGCAGTACATCCCTTGCAGACCTGAAGTGAATAGATACCAAGATGGTGCACTTGATACCGCCCTTGTCAACCACTGCCAATGAAGAGTGATAAAAAGTGCGCGCCTTTTCTGTCAACACTTTACGAAGCTTTCACACACAACTCTTCAGAAGCCCCAATCTTGGCAAAGATGCATGTCCACAAGCGGCCCTTGAGGCATATTCGTGAGGGTGGGCGCAAATGAAGTTCCTAGCAACTCAAGAAAGTAGTCCTAGATAGTCCTAGACGGAGCAGTGCAAGATACTCAACGTTCACAGCAAGATATGACCTCAAGCTCACCTTGACACTGCTAGCCCCTAGCTTGCGATGCCTGACACTGGTGACCGAACAATTCCGTACCCAGGTACAGAGGTAGGCCATGGTAGCCCAAACCCCCAACTGTCCACAGTTTTCTAAATTATGAGCTCAGGCCGAAAACAAAACCACAAGCGTCGACGACTTTCAATAAAGACATCTCCGATGCCGCAGGCGGATTTTACAAATTTCTACAAGCCCTGGCGCAAGACAGTTGTCAAGGAAGCTCCGTTTCCATCCATTTCCCACCATGTCAAACCTGGCAAGCCCGACGCCACCAGATCCACCAGCACCAATATCATGGCAAGTGGGAAACAAATGGAAACAGCAGAAACTCATAGAAACTCATGCGGTTGGACTTGATCATCGCAGCCAAGTCCAGGACCGAAAAAGCAACTCTGGTCACTTGTGCATCCAAAAAAGCAACACGAACATTGATACAAGATGCCACAATCAGCAAATCCATACGCATCCCAATTTAATCGAATAATTACTTGAAAGCACGCGGATCAGAAGTCTGGTCTAAAAGAAGCAACGCATAGTAGGACCTTGTAGCTACGATTTGAATCCAACCGGTTCAACTTCAGAAAAAATCAACAAAACGATGTGGCAAGCATCGACACACATTGCAACCCTTACTCGGGTGTGCTTACTTCCTCGAACGGCTAATGATGGGCTGTCATTTGCACAACACGGGATTGGCATGCATTCTTTTTGTTTTTGCGAGCGCGATTTGATTTCTGAATACTTCAAGGGCACAGGTTTCGACAATACAAGTTCAACCACTGGAAACGGGGCAAGCATACGCGTTGCATCGAAGTAAGCCACGAACGCCACATTCTTGCCAAACCTTGCGGAGGACTGCGTTAGACAAAACAAACGGTTTCGCTTGAGAACCCTTTGTACCTTCCACAGAGGCAACGAGAGCGGCGAATGACTCTTAATTACGAAGCCCTTCAACTAGACCCTTGAACAGGACCGGTGATATGAACAGCAGCGCAACACCGTTGAATGGAGTTTCGTGGCGACACATCGTTTTTCTAATAATGCCTTCATTTTCGCTTGCGGAACTGGTGCAAAGCTTTCGGCTTCATGAAAAGGTCGGACCAATTTGAATCCGGCTGAGCATGCAGTTCATTGCCTTTGAAAAAAGTACGGTCGCCCCGTCGCACCTTGCGTTTCCTCCGTACCCTACGGCTTGCTACTTGTATTGTTTGAAAGTGGTGGATTTAGTGGATGTGGTGGTGGTGGGGGTGGTAGCAGCGGAGGCAATGGTGGCGGTGAAGCTCAGGCTGCATTTGAAACGTTTCAATGTGCGACATGCTACTCGTTTTCAAATTTCGGATGCCAACACAATATGAATACAATATGCATACGCAAGCGAGAAAGAGAAAGAAAGAGAAAGAAAGAGAAAGAAAGAGAAAGAAAGAGAAAGAAAGAGAAAGAAAGAGAAAGAAAGAGAAAGAAAGAGAAAGAAAGAGAAAGAACGAGAAAGAAAGAGAAAGAACGAGAAAGAAAGAGAAAGAAAGAGAAAGAAAGAGAAAGAAAGAGAAAGAAAGAGAAAGAGAAAAAGAGAAAGAGAAAGAGAGAAGAACGTAGAATCTGGAAGGTAGCACCAACTAGTATTTCATTTGTATTGTGACATTTGTTTGTGGACTTCTGTTGCTGGTTGTCCGTTTTGCCGGACCTCCTCGCCAGTGATTCAACACTCTAGCGACGCACTGTCTTGCTTATCTTGCTTTCGGGCCCTGGTCAAATGCTGCTGGACTTACCATGTTTCAAGAATCTCTTGGCCTCAGGTTTTTTTGTGACATGTTGTGCAAATTTTCAGCAGGGAAACTACGAAATTTGACTGATCCTTTTTTTATTTGAAAACTTTGACATTATATATATATATAATATATGTGTTGATATAGTATGCGAATGTATGCGAGATAAAGGTACTTTCAACTGGTTATGAGTTCTTCTATGGCGCGGGTCAATAATTTTCAGAATTGAGCATCCACGTTTGTTGCCCGTGCTGTGGTTTCACCCAGTGGGCCGAATGAAACTTTGGTTTACAGATTTTAGTTTGTGGCAACAGTTTAGAATCTAGGGGCTATAGCCCTGCAGTCAATCCAAGGGTGAAGTTTTCTTCAAACCAATAAAATTGTGTCTGACACCCTGATTTTATCTACCAAATTGTACCAAGTTCCCTGCACTTGACCCAAGATCCATCCCGCAAACAGGTCAGACCTTTTTTTAATGAACAAAACGTAGATATCTAGAGGGTCAATTCATTTTAGTTTCAACATGTTTCAACAACGTTTTTGTTCACTAGGAAAAAACAGTTTCATTGAATCCATGGTCTTGGAAACCATGAACCCTTTCAATTTATTGCTATCAGCGCATTGAATCTAACAGTTTTTTTGGAGGGTTCTTCATAACTTCGACCGTGCCCGCATCCTTTACCCTGCTCACGCGCCTAAATAATATCACGATGCCACGACCCTCATCAAACGGCGCGCATTGATCAACTGAAGCGACGCCTGCGCAGTATCAATCACCGCTTGTGATCTGATGTTTTCACCATTCGGGGGTTATGCTTCGACCTCCAATTCCATGGAACACGTTCATCATATTTAATTGCCTTCGGCAAGCCTGCCGGCCATAGAGAGGTGGCCCCAAGGGAGTGTGATGTGCACTCTATGTGGTTGACCGTATACAAAATGAGTACCGCCCCCCCAGCAAAGTACCGCATAGTACCGCCAAGTACTATGTATGAACCTCAGCCCGCTGCATGGAAGGGGACACGGTGGAAGAACAAAGTCGGATTTAGAAACTGCACTGGATTCAGAAATTGGACGTCGGATTCAAAAACTAGACGTCGGATTCTGGAAATTAAATGTTGGATTCAGAAATTAGAGGCGTAGTATTCAGAACCACTTTGGTCGGATTCGGAGTGTGTTTTGTCGAGTTCAGACACTACTCGTCGGATTCAGATACTATTTCGTCGAATTCAAATTATTCCGTTGGATTCAAAAACTATTTTGTCGGGTTCAAAACCTCGTCTGTGGATTCATAATTTGTTCGGTCGGATTCAGAAATATTTTGTCGGATTCCGAAACATTCCGAAACCATTGCGTCGGATTCAGACACCATTTTGTCGGATTCAGAGCCTATTTTGTCGGATTCAGAACCTACCTATTGCGTCGGATTCAACAACCATTGTGTCGGATGGTAAGCTCTCGCTTCGGGCGCCCACACGCGTGCATCGCTTCGGGCGCCTGCTGTAACCAGCGTTTTCTCGAACTCTACGTATTGGTACGTGGTGCGTGGTAGGGTCATCATCATCATCATCATCATCATTTTTTTCTGAGGATTGATATTGTTGTTCATTTTATTTTTCATCATGATCATGATCATGATAGCGTCAGGAGAAGATGTGATAGCGTGACATCATGTTGGTGTGCAGGTGCAAGAGAATATCGCCTCATAATGTAGCAAGTATGTCCTTGTGCCAAAGGAGAAAAAAACGTTTTCACACACACCCCATCCAACCCCATCTCCAACCCCGCAGCAAGCGATGTGAGCAGACAAACGCTTGCAACAAGTGAGCGGTTTCTCGAGCTGCGAGGGAGGCATGCGGGACGCCAGTGGGACAAAGCCACAGGTCCGGCTGAATTCCACCTGAGTTCCTGCTTCCCACCCTACTTGTGCAAATTGATGGGCCTAGTAACCTAAATATCCCGAATATCCGGGATCAAATAACAGTTACACAAAGGGGAGGACTTGGGCTACAGTACAGATTGCCAGCCAAGGGTCGTTTTGTACAAAAAAGTGAAGTTGGGCCAACCTTTTTGTAGTTGAATTCATTTTGTAGTTGTTTCATTTAAAATCATCGTTTTTATTTTGTAGTTTTATCTGTTGAGTTAGTTAAAGCACCCAACATAAAATTTCATTTGCATTTTGTAGTTGTATATATATATATATATGTTGAGGAAGTTGAAACATCCATAAAATGCTGCCAGTACAGAATCGTATCTAACAACTGCACGGGGTCAACGCTTGATCCAATCAAATTCAACCAATTACAACTACAAAATGTTTTCTGAAAAGTATCTTGGTCGGAACTTTGGATGGCATAGGCCCAACTACAAAATGTTATTGGGAAAATTCATGTTAGCATTTCCGATTTTCTGTTATTTTTCAACTTAAGATGCATAGGTTTTTGTGGTGCATATCTTCAATTGTTTTCGAAATCAAACCCAGTTTTGCTCTGTATTTTGTAGTTGCAAAAATGGGGCCATGCATCCAATTTTGTACTTGCAGGCCGGATGCTTTGTGTTTTGTACCTATCAAAATCCTCTGCACAGTTTCCCCCCCCTTATCTGAACCCCGATACCTGAATTGTTTATCGAAGGAAATTTAGAAGTCAAACTTCCGACAATATGGACAGATGAAAAGCAGAGCAGGGCAGAGGCAGAGAGAAGAGGAAGATTAGAAGAGAGAAGGTCAGAAGAGAAAGAGTCAGGAAGAAAGAAGATGCAGATGCGCGAAAAGGTAGGAAAGTCGCGAAACACTGTGTTTTTAC